CTTTGTGAAAATGTACAAAAAAAAAAACTTACAATGATTTTTTGGGAAAATAGTAATAACAGTAACCACAATGAGGTATCACCTCACACCTGTCAGAATGGCCATCATCAATAAATCAACAAACAACAAGTGCTGGTGAACATGTGTAGAAAGGGGAATGCTTTTGCACTGTTGGTGGGAATGCAGACTGGTGCAGCCACTGTGGAAAGCAGTATGGAGTTACCTAAAAAAAATTAAAAATGGAACTGCCTTATGACCTATTGATTCCACTTCTGAGTATTCATCCAAAGAAACTCAAAACACTAATTTGAAAGAATATACACACCTCCATTCCCTGCAGCATTATTTACAATAGCCAAAATATAAAAGCATCCCAAGAATGAATAAAAAAAAGTTATGGTATATTTATACAATGAAATATTATTCAACCATAAAAAGACTAAAATGCTACAATTTATAACAGCATGAGTGGTCCTGGAGAGTATTATGCTAAGTGAAAGAAGTTAGAGAAAGACAAGTACCATATGACTTCACTTATATGTAGAATGTAAAGAACAGAATAAACAAACAAGCAAAACTGAAACAAACTCATAGATACAGAGAACTGACTGGTGGTAACCAGAGGGGAGGGTTTTGGGGTGCACTGGGTAAAGAAGGTAAAGGATCAAGGAGTACATATGGCCTGGCTGGTGTGGCTCAGTGGAGTGAGTGCCAGACTGCAAAGCAAAGAGTCACTGGTTCAATTCCCAGTCAGGGCACATGCCTGGGTTGCAGGCCAGGTTCCCAGTAGGGGGCACACAATAGGCAACCACACATCGATGCTTCACTCCCTCTCTTTCTCCTTTCCCCTCTGTCTAAAAATAAATAAATAAAATCTCTTAAAAAATAAATTAATGATGCCATTTTTGCCTAACACATATGTTCATATGTCAAAAAGTTGAAAATCCTTGTGAAGGAAAAGGTGCAGAGACACCGTTTTTTCAGGGTTTTTTTTCTGCTGGTGGGAACATAAGTTGATAGAGCCTCCACAGGGCTGTTACTCAGAGATCTTTTGACTCTGGGCAAGTTTCTTACCCTGAAAATTACTAGCACTATCTCTTAGAATTTTCTATTTTCAGAATTCAAAAGAATGGCATATGCAAACTAGCACAGTGCTTAATACAGTAATGCTGACACCCCTCACAGGTTGGTCAAGCAGCAACTCAGCCCTGGTGAGCTCAAAGAATGTTCTACCCATGACTAACTTGTTCAGAGCTTCTGCTCTCTGGGACAGAGCCTTTCCTCCTCCCAGAGTGGGAGGCAGGAACTGGTGTCTAGCTTCTGCCAGGATATTAAAGAGTAAGAAAATCAGGTCCATGACTTTCTTTGACAGCAAAGGAAGAACTGCTTCTGCAGTGAAAAGGCCTGTACCACCAGGATTTGTCAGGGGTAAATGGTGCTTCTGCATTTCCCTGGACCAGAAGTGGCTCATGTGGAAGGGAGACAGACATCTGAAGCCATTTTGCATCCTACACAAGATGGGCACACTCTTGATGAAAACGGGAGCTCTGGGGAGGGGTGACGGCTGGAGGAAGGCCCATGTATAAGAAAGTTTCGGTCACAGAGGAGCCTGTGAGGAACACACAAGAGAACAAGTCTGCTTAAATATCTGCTAGGCACAGAGAGCACAGAGCTTGGTGCCAGGGAGAGTTTCATCAGGAAAGTGGAACTGAGGTGAGTAAGGTGGAATTAAACCTCACACAATTGTGTCAGCTGGTAAAGGAGTCTATGGCAGGCTGTTGCCTCTGTCTGATGTTGGGCCTGCAGTCACCAAAGGTCATGAAGCAAGGAAGAACAAGGGCAGCCTGGAGCCTGTGCCAGTCTCTCTCTGCCTCCAAATCAAAACAAACTACAGAAGAGCTGGATCTCCTGCCCACAAAGCCACACACTCCTGGCCCAGGACTCAGAAAGCAGAGAGGGGACCCAGTGGTAGCTGCAGCCTGGCCCCAATGAGGGAGGCAGTAGATTGCCACCAACATGGGTGAGCTACAGTGGCACCTGAGTCCATGCAGTGACTTTCCCAGCATAATGGTTGGGGCTTTCCTTCTGTCTTCCAAATCTTGCCCAATTTTCTCTTGTAGTCAATCCTAACCCAGAATCATTCCAGGAAAGAAATTCTGGGAAACTGAATTCTAGCTAAGCTAGGGTGACACAGTGTAAATCAACCCACTGTCTTCTGATAGCATTATTCAGGGAAGAACTTTCTCCCCTCCTCAGCCTTCCTCCCTGCACCCTTACACCTGAGGGGTCAGTATCTCATCTGGTGACTGGAACAAAGCAAGCTGGAAGTGGAAAAGAAGCTGAACCCATCTTTTGCTTTAGGAAAGGCAGCTGAACCCACCTCCCTCAATATTCTGCTGGAAATCTGGTGCTGGCCACAGACCTAACCAAAAATATAAAGTATCTGGACATTATCCTACATAAAAATTTAACGGACTTTGACATAGAAAAATTATTGACTACTAAAAAGTAAAACAGTAAAATAAATGAAGAATATTATTCCCATATTAATCTATCAACTCAATATAATTCTGAACAAAATTTCAACAGGATTGTTTAAAATTAGTTTTTAGTTTATTATGAATGGATCTGAATATTTTTTTCTGCATATTAATTATTTAGTTATTTAACTTCCTCCTTAGAGAAATGCTTGTTGATATGATTGCCTTCTTTCTTAAGAGTACTACTGGGTTTTCTTGATTTGATGAACATGTTACTAAAGTTACATTTTTCTTGTCATATTTATAGAAATATCTCCAAGCTTATTGATTGCCTTTAAATTCTGTTTATACTGTTTAGACAGTTAGCAGTTTTACATTTTTATGTAGTTAGGTCTGTCAGTTTGTGTATGATTTCTTCCATTAATTTTAAGCTTCAAAAAAACTAAAAGCAGGTAATTATTCTATTTTTATTATTTATTTTTACAGTTAACTTCTTTTTTATTGAGATATAATTAACATATAACATATTAGTTACAGATGTACAACACAATGATTCCATATTTGTGCCATAGTTTATTGTGAAATGATTACTTCAATAAGTCTACATAACATCCATCACCATATATAATCACAAAATTTTTTCTTGTGATGAGAACTTTTAAGATTTTCTCTCTTAACAACATTCTAATATGCATTATAGTATTATTACCTATAGTCACTGCTCATTGCATCCCCATGACTTATTTCTTTTATTACTGGAAGTTTGTACTTTTTGATCTCCTTCACCCATTCCCCCACATTGGTGAACTTCTTTCTCCATATGGATTCATTCTTCTTTTTTTACAATATAAAATATATGTCTGAATGTATGTATCACCTTCTCACCATCCTGTCAACTTTCTAATTTGTCCCAGGATCTTGTCTGTGTAACTAAGTGTATAATTTTGCATTATCTTAGCAGCTGACATCAGAATTCCTCTCAGTGGACAATGTCACTGTTTAGAAAATTCTTTTGATAAATGTGGAATCCACATGAATGCAGGTTCATGCAGCCACTGTAAAAAACAGTATGGGACTTCCTCAAAAAAATTAAAAATTGAACTGCCTATGACCAAGCAATTCCACTTCTGGGAATTTATCCAAAGAAACCTGAAACACTAATTTGAAAGAATATGTATACCCCTATGTTCACTGCAGCATTATTTTAAAAAGCTAAGGTTTGAAAGCAGGCCAAGTGCCCATCAGTAGATGAGTGCATAAAAAAGCTATAGTAAATTCACACAATGGAATACTACTCAGCCATAAAAAGAAAATCTTACCCTTTGTGACAGCATGGTTGGACATGGAGAGCATTATCCTAAATGAAGTAAGCCAGTCAATGAAAGACAAACACCATATTATTTCACTCATATGTGGAATCTAACAAACAAAATAAATGAATAAGCAAAATAGAAACAGACTCATGGATACAGAAAACAGACTGACAGCTGTCAGAGGGTAAGGGGGGTTGGAGAACTGGGTGAAAAAGGTGAAGGGATAAGCAAAAAAAAACTACAGACACATACAGTGATTACCAGAGGGAAGAGGGGTGGGAGGAGGTAGAAGAGGGTAAAGGAAGCATAAATGGGGATGGAAGGAAACTGGGCTTTGAGTGGTGAACACACAATGCAACATACAGATGATATATTACAGAATTGTACACTTGAAACCTATATAATTTTATTAACCAGTGTCACCCCAATAAATTCAATTAAAAATTGTTTAAGAAGGTGAACCCCCTGAAGGCTCAAATGACAATGGTACCAAAACTCTTGATAAGGGGGAAAGCTGCTCTGAATGAGATTCAGAAAGAATTTGTGGTAAGGCACATAAAAGCAAGGGTGTGAGGGAATGAAAATCAAGAAGGAAAGATGGTGAAAAGATGAGTCAGAAACTGGCAAAAGGTTACAGTGCGTCAGGGGTCAGTAGAGTAAGTTGGAGATGAGGAACCAATACACGTACTTTAGGAGGTGATGCTTGTTATAAAAACTAGAATTCTTTGCATTTCAGCAATATAAACCACTCTCTTTTGTCACACTCTTGCTCAACACTTTCCGTGTGGGTGGATTCTTCCAGCTGGAATTTCTTAGAAAAATGACAAGTCATCAAAAGGGAGAACAAAAAGCGATAGAGAGCTAAGGAATGTTTTAAAAGAAAAACAAAGAGGAGGGACATGCACTATCAGGTAATGGTAATAGTACAGCCATGGCAGTTGTTTAACCAAGGTAGACTAGATTCTGCTGCAGAGACAAAACCTTCAAGGGCAATCATTTAAAACAACCAAGACCCATTCTTCACATTACATGTCCTCTGGGGGTTGCTTGGAGGTCCTGCTCTATGCCTCTCCACTCCAGGGTGTGGCCAACAGCACCTGCCAGGCCGTAACACTGCAGGTTATCATGGCAGGGGGAAAGGACATGGTGAATGCACACCATCTCTGAAGGCTTCCTCCCTGAAGTCACATGTGTCACTTATACTCACATTACATTGTCCAAATCCAGTCACATGGCACAGTGAACTCCAAGTGGACAGGGAAATGCTACCCTGCCATTTTCCTGAAAGAGAAGAGAAGAGAACAACGCCATTTGTAAACAGTACTAATGACTACAACAATCATCTTTTAAAAAGAAAATGGTAGTCCTAGAACAGGGATTTATAACTAAACCAATGAAGCAGAAGAGAAAATTCACAAACACACATATTTTTAATATAAATACATGTAAGTTATGTGTTTATGTGCTGGGCACACGCTGTGGGAGCTCATGAAGCCCTGGGGAAGATGGTTTGCTGAGTGGGCATTGTGGGGAAGACCCACTTCTCATACAAATGAATACGACTTTCAACCTGTCTTCCTACTAGACAAAACTTCAACTTCAGAAGATTAGAGCCCTGAATGTGAGTTGTAAAACTACACAACTAATGGGGAAAATGTAAAAAGAATATCTTTGTTATTCATTTGACCTCAGTGTGGGAAGATTTCTTTAATAAGACCCCAAAAGACTAAAACCATAAGGCAAAAAAGAAATGATGAATTTGACTAGAATAAAATTGAGGCTTTCTATTCACTAGCAGAACAGAAAGACAGAGTTAACAAGCAGGTGACCAACCAGGAGAAGATATTGCTATAACTAAAATAGAGAATGTGTACATATCTAGTATATCATCTATATTAAGTAGTTCGATCAACAAGAAAAAAAAACAGAAAGAACCCAGAAAGGGCAAAAAAATGTGACTCACATAAGGTAGAATCTGCAGTTCTTCCCGATAACAGGTACATGAAGAGATATGCACAGTAGTGAGAGAAATCCAAAAGCTAGAGAAGTAACCCTGTAAACTGCCAGCCTGGCAACAGCAGAGAGTCAGGTAACACCAAATGTTGGAAAAGATGCAGGAAACAGGCCTCACAGGTACTGCAGTGGGAAAGTCTGTGGACAGATCTGCTCTCAGGAGTCACCTGGCAGTTCTAATGAAACTGAACTCAGCCAGCAAGCCTTCCCTTGGGTGTATACTGTACAGAAATTTCCCCAGGGACCCATAAGAGGACATGCTTAAAATTTTTCATCACAGCAGAGAATTGAGTTAGTCTGGGAGCCTATCACTAAGGGGATGAAAAGCAACACATAGTGGATGCATAGTGTGAAACACTGTGCAGCAGCCAGAAGTAGGAACACAGGTATGAAACAGCAGAACTAATGTGAAAAACAGAGTTGACTGAAAAAAAACATAGGTAATGGACCAGCCCTGGCCAGTATAGCTCAGTTGGTTGGGCATTGTCCTACAAAACAAAAGGTCACTGGTTCAACTCCTGGTCAGGGTACATGCCTGGGTTGTGAGCCAGTCCCCAGTCAGGGCACATGAGAGAGGCAACCAATCAATGCTTTTCTCACACATTGATGTTTTTCTCCCTCTCTTTCCTTTCTCTAAGAACAAATAAATGAAGTATTTTTTAAAGAAACAGACCAAAAGTATGTAGATATTTTATACATAATATACATTATAAAATATGTAAGTATATATAGTTGGCCTATATGTCATACATATGATATATATTAGAGAGATAAGGATGGGAGGAAATGAAAAGAAGTAATGAAATAAGGCAAAATGGCATCTTTCCAGGTGAATGATGATAGTTGCCATGGACTGCAAGACACAATCTGCTCAATTCTGTGCATCTGCATCCAATGACTAGAACAAAAAGAAAGCAATCTCTCAGAATCACTGGGCTGCACGAGCACAGCACTACCACACACATTCCATTGGTAAGCATGGCTTCTCACACTTTAACCTGCAGTTCCAGGCTCAGCAGCCAGAGATTGGGATTCAGGAGGTCTGAGGTAGGTCTGAGAACTGGTGTTTCCAGTCAGCTCCCAGGTAACAGTGACTGATGCTGCTGCCCAAGGGACAATGCCTTGCCTGGCAGAGAGCAGGACCACAGTCACAAACCCATACCAAACTGCCAGGGAGACTGGAAGGGGCAGTATAACTCTGCCCCAGAAAAGGGAGGAAAGAGTTTTAGTAAAAAGATAGCCAGTGTCTGCCACTCGGTCACACCCTCACTGCCAGTCACGCCTGTGGTACCTGCACTTCTCCCTCACACCCACATCTGCTTCTCTACTAGATTATAACCACCATGAGAGCAGGGGCCATGCCCCTCTGTGCCTAGCTCAATGCCTGCCATGTAACAAAGATTCAATAAATGTTTGTTGGCACCAGGCTGGACATTTAAAATTTTTGAGGAAGAAACTGACTGATAAGCCCTGGCTGGCATAGCTCAGTGGATTGAGCATGGGCTGCAAAACAAAGCATCACAGGTTCGATTCCCAGTCAGGGCACATGCCCGGGTTGCAGGCCACAGCCCCCAGCAACCGCACATTGATGTTTCTCTCTCTCTTTCTCCCTCCCTTCCCTCTCTAAAAATAAATAAATAAAATATCTTTTAAAAAAGAAAGTGACTGATAAGAGTTGTAGACTCAGAATAGGAATCTCACAACCAACTGCGGAAGGGTGGATTAGAATGGGAGTCAACCAAGCTTAAGAGGAGGAAGGTCTAGACTAGGGAGGCTGCAATGGAAAGGAAAGCTGCTGTCGCGTCCACTCACTGTCACTACCTACTCATCTGAGTTGCTTTCATCTACTGCTCTCCCTCTTCCACTCCCATCCCTCCCTCCAGCTCAATTCAGAAAGAGAACCTCAGGGCAAAATCAACTTAGACCCTATGGACTAGCCCCAAATTGCTGGAAGATGGGAGTGGAGGGATGAAGTCAGTCTGAAATTCACATTCAGTCCTGCAATTCCAAATTGTATTAACCACATGAGGATGAACAGCAAGATGTCTGGATGCTAGGCCACATGCTATCTGACACCCAAAGGGTCGGGGTAGAAACATATTTGGGAAGTATCAGTTGATATTTGTCTTGGCGATTCTTTCTGCCACCACACTCCCTTGCCCTCTTCTCTCTATGCCCTGCTCTTGGTGCCTCTGCTTGGAGAGCACTGATGTGGAGGACTGCTCTGCGGCCGGGGCAGCACTTCTTCTTTGATCTCAGTGTGTGTACTATAGCACAAAACCCTCCAAGGCACATCTCAATGCTGAGATTCTAGGGGGTTATTTACACCTTTATGTAATTTATTTTGTTTCACTTCCTTGGAGTTTTTTCCTCTTAAAGGGATAGGGACAATTAAGTGATTCCAATAGTGGCATTCCACATGCAGGGAAGATTATAAGAACCATAGTCTCCCCTACATGACCAGGTCAGCTGGCCTGGTTGGGTGGCTATCCCCAATCTATCTAATTCACTGTGACCCTCTCCCACCTGCATGAAACCCAAGCTCCTCTCTGGCACAGAGGAGATGCCACATTTAGAACATTTCTCAAATTTTCCAGCTGTCATCTGGGATTCAGACAATAGAAAAAAGACATACTATTTGGTGCCGGAGGCCCTGGGAAGAACTAGCTAGACCTGGGACACAGGTGGGTCTGCCATCTGTCAGCCAGTTCACCACTGAGCTGCAGGGTCCCATGGTCCCCAGACGGAGAAACCGCTGAGCACACCCACTCCAGAGAGCACCCATTCCCAACCCCAGACTGACCTTTCCCAGCCAGGCCCTGCAAAGCAGTTTGGAAAGAGAAAGAGTGAGGAGTCATTCTTTTCTCACCACCGTCCCCCAACCCCACCAGAGAGAGGGAAGGAGGGGTACAAAGAGGAAAACGAGAGTTAGTTGTCCCTCTCACCCTCTAGCCTCCCACCTCTCCCTCAGACTCCAGCTGTTGACCTAAAATCACAAAGGATTTTCACTCAAAACCCAGAGAAAAAAGAGAGGGAGGCAGAGAAAAGGGAAGTAGCAGCAGCAAATTTCAAAAGGAGGGCTAATTTGTGCAGCACAGGACAGCTGCATTTGCATAATGAAATGTGCAGAGGATGTTTGGCTCATGTATTTTTTAGAAGGTTTAACTTTAATTTTATTTAGCCTAAGAAGGGCATGTCACTCAAGCTCCGCTGGTCATTTATAAAAAATATTTCAATTGTGTTTCCAAGGAGCTGTCTTTCTGGCCTAAGTGGCTGGGGCTGAGGTTGTGAATGCTAATATGGAGGTCGGGAGCCCCATCAGGAAGGAGAACACAGGAGAGAAAAATGGGACAGGCAGAGACACCAAGAAAGACACGCTGAACACAGCAAGAAAAAAGAACCAGCATGAAGACAAAGAGTGTGGAGTGCAACAAGGCCCCGTGGACTCAAAAGCACCTGGTCAGGTAAACATCCACAGCAGCTGTCGGGACAGTGTTCCCAGTGGACCACACCTCACTCAGGCAGGTGGGCCCAGCTCTCAGGCAGGTGGGCCCGGCTCTCCTAGCCCGTGTTTGGATTTGTGTTGAGTATTGCTATTCTAATCTCCAGCTGAAAATACCATTTCCAAATAGGGCACTCTATGACCAAACTCTCTTCCTTCTACCTGTTGGTCCTGAGCTGGAAATGTTTTCTCCCATCTGTAATTCTGAACCTTAATGAGGGAGCTTGATTGTGGACTAATTGTGCTGGGGATGGGCAAAGGAGGGCTGATCTGAGTCTGGTGTGTGTACTTTTTTTCCTCCTGCTAATACAGCAACAATTACCCTTGAACTCCCCTCCCCAGTTTCCACCACAAACACCCCAGCCTCCTGAATCAAATGCTCTTAGACTTACAAATCACATGTTACAACACTGGCCCACAGAAGCAAGGGAGCAATGAGAATGAAGGGGAGACCATACTTGCAGAACAGTTCTCTCATCAGTACACTGGCCTCAAAGAGCTTCAGAGAAACCCTAGAATCTCTGACTCAAGCCCAGTCTCTGATTAACTAATATAGAAGCTGAGCCCTACAGGAGGGAAGAAACTCCATTGCAGAGGGAGCCAGGACCCCCTCCCCCAGGTTAGGTAACAGCCAGCCACACCTCTTGCTTCCCTCCTTCCTTTGCTAAACCACCAGTCAAACCCCAGGCTCCCTCTGCTGCCTCCCTTGGTCCTTGGTCTCAAAGCTCGGAAGAGAGATCCCCAGCAAAATGCTCAGGAAAATCCC